GAGCTCGGGGAACAGCCAGGACAGATTGGCCGAGAAGCGGAGCGGAGCCATTGCCAGGCCAGGCGGGTCCGGGTTGGGCAGAGTCAGCGAGCACCGGAAGGCGGAAGGGCGCGGATCGGAACCCTGCGGCTCGCCCTCCGGATAAACGGGAAGGGTCTGTGGTTAGGAAAGTAGCGTGGTACGGAAGAGGGCTTCTTCCCCGCGGGAGAAAGGGAGGGCCGCGGAGAGGGCTGCGGGAAGCGCGAAGGATGGGCGTCCTGACTGGGGTGGGGAGGAAGCGGGGCTCCAGTACTTGGCATTTTCCATAGGTCAGAGTTCTCAGGGCTAGGCATGTAGTTCAGCGGTAGAGTTCCTTCCTAGGTTCAACCCCTAGCTCTTCGGGTAGCGGGGATAAATGAAAAGATCCCTTCGCTAAGGGACATTTGGAAGCTGATTAAAGAGCTCGTGTGCCACCAATTAACACAAACTAACCCGTTAGTTTTTACTAACAGATTAAAAAATAAACATGCAAGCCGAGCATGGTGGCGCACGCCTGTAATCCCAGCACTCGGGAGGCTGCGGCAGGAGGATCGCTGTAAGCTCGAGACCAGCCTGGACTACATAGTGAGTTCCGGGTCAGTCGCAACTACATAGTGAGAACCTGTCTCAAAAAAAACAAAAACAAACAAACAAAACACACACACACACACATAAAAATAAACATGCAAATTTTTTTCTTGGAAAATTCTGATCAATGGTGTATATAGTTTTATAAACTTTTTTTTCCAAGTAGTATTTTGCGGGCACTTCCCAGTGTTCTTTGTGTCTTCAGAGTCATTTGTGTTAGTTGCTCCTTGTCGGACACCTAGATAGCCCATTACATGTATCATCCTTCTCTGGATAGTTGTGTTTTTGTGCGCACGCGCGTTGAAAGAGAACTTTAATGCATCTCTTGGTCCCGTTCTGTGTGATGGAGATGCCCATCACAGCGTTTGCCTGACCTCAGTGTTTGCCCTTTGTAGCAGAAACTGCCCCCAGCCCTGGTTTCTGCACTGAGAAGCTATGGACTGCTGTCCCCTTTTAGTCTTAGCTGATTGGCCCACGCGCGAGGGCAGCCAATCCATAGATTGGCCAAAGACCTCTTACTTGCATGGTTTGGAAAGATAGTCTGGCTAATGAGATTCTCCTGTCAGGAGCTCAAGCAAGGAAATCCTGACAGTCAAATTAAGAGGTGGTCTTGGCCAGAAGATGACAGGAGTTAGCTGGTAAGGGAAGTCTAGAGCAGAGAAGAAGGTAACAGTTCTGTCAGTAAAGGCATCATGTGGACAACACCTATATCTCAGGGCTGCCCAAACCCCAGCTGCTCCCAGTCCTATGCGCCTCCCAAGGCTGGAATGCGTTCGTTCATGTTCCTGTTTCTGAATCTGTATAGCTTCTCGATATTTCTTCTGGATAATCTGAATTTTTACTTTTCACTTTCAATAATTTAGCTGAGCAGATACTTACAGGTAGAAGTATATGGCTGTAAAAAAGAAAGAATATGTTAACTTCTTTGTGGATATGTTAAATTGCTTTGCAAAAATATAAACTTACACTGCGACCCATGAGTAGAAGTCATCTGATCTATTTTCTGTGCTAATGTTGACAGAAGACCAAAATGCATCCAGCACTGCTCTTCTCCCATTTGTTCTGTCACTGCTCGGTCCCTTCCCAAGTCAGGTCTACTTGGCTGGGCATGGTGGGCTATGCCTGTAATCCTAGCTCTTGGGAGGCTGAGGCAGGATTGTCGCAAGTTCATGGCCAATATGGACTTACATGGTGAGTTCAAGGCCAGCCTGAACTACATAGGGAGACCCTGTCTCAACGAAACAAAACAAAAAGCAAGTCAGATCCACTCAGACACATAGGCTCCAAGCTCATCTTGCAGTTAATCCAAACGCTTGGCAGATTCCATTTCCTTTTTTTTCTTTTTTTTCTGTTTTTTTGAGACAGGGTCTCACTATGTAGTTGAGACTGACCTGGAACTCACTGTTTAGCCCAGGTTGGTCTCGAACTCACAGCAATCCTCCTGCCTCAGCCTCCTGAGCTGGGATTACAGGTGTGCGTCACCACACCTGGCACCAGATTCCATTTCCTGAGCAGTACATCCAAGAATAGACTGCCAACAGCTGATAAGATATGATCAGCTGATTTCTTGCTCATTTAGCCTTACACTTGGACCTTTGACTTGTTCTGGAACACATTTCTTGAAGAGAGTCCAATGAGGATATGACCTCACTAAGTTTAGCATTTAATCAATGCCTACGTCAGCAGGTTTACAATCCAAAATTGACAATCCAGAGTGATATCTAAGTCCCTGACTGTGCAAATCACATTTAAGGCCTGAATAGCATCCTTATCTCCTGGGCTCTGAGTCAGGAACAAAAAGTGTCCTACCCATAGAGGTCTCCCTTTTTTCTTTGTACAGTATATCCTTTAGGGCAGCAGAGATGGCGTGTAAATTATATGTGCATGCCTCACTTTTTTTTATTTCCTTACAATGCCTTCACATAATATACTAAATTGAATATATAAGGAGTATATTGTCTGTGGAAAATTTTCCCTTGAGTTTTGTGTGTGTGTGTATGTGTGTGTAATTGTGCTAGGAACTGAACACAGGGCATTATGCATGCCAAGCATATACCCACCACTGAGTTACACCTCCAGCCTGAAAATTATTTTCTTTATTTTTCATTTTATTGTCTCTACCCATACCACTTTGCAACATAGGTATTACAGAAAGTTATTATTCCAAATCTTGATTCTTTGTACTTCACCTTTTTTTGTTTTGTTTTTTGGTACCAGGAATCAAACTCAGGACCTTGTACTTACCAGGCAAGCAATGCAGCACTGAGCTAAATAAAAATAAGAAATAAATATAAAATTAAAAAAAAAATGATAAATCCCTGGCCCTGCAGTTCACGTTTACCAAAGAATTTGCACAGGTGTGATGTTTAGTTAAGGTAACAACAATCTGTAAATAGTTTCACAGATGATAGCTAAAACTTAGGTATAGAGTTCAGAATCTCTTGATCATTGGATAGCACTTCTCAACATGGTAAAACATTACAATTTATGTTTGAAATATAAATCAAAATCTCCACACAATGCCATTTAATACCTTCCCGTTTGGCAAAAATATTTTTAAAAGTCAGACAGCTTCAAGTGTTAGATAGGATTTTAAACAACTGGAACCTTTACTCAATTTTTTTTTTTTTTTTTTTTTTTTTTTTTTGGTAGAGGGTACCAAACTCGGGCTCTTGCGCTTGTGCAGCAAGCATCGGAGCCACTGAGCCAAGTCCCCAGCCCATTTTTGCTCAATATTGATAGGAAAGTAAATCACTACAACCACCTTGGAAAACAACTTGGCTTTTTTTCTTTTTTCTTTTTTTGGTACCGGGGATCCAACTCCAGTCCCTGCGCTTGCGAGGCAGGCGGCGGCACCACTGAGCTACATCCCGGGCCCTGGCCTTATCTCTTAAAACTGGTAGGCTTTTACGCCAACAGTTCCTTTTCCAGGTGTACTCGGAAGATTTCTTCGCAGGTGTTCCAGGAACAAGCTCAGTGATATCCACAGAAGCTCTGTTGACAGCGAAAAGATGAAACTACCCCAAACGTCCATTAGGACACATTTAAGTGAGGTGCCGTACAGTCATGCGATGTTGTATAGAAAAACGAGGCGAAGGCTGGCGGCTCAAATAATAAATTTGAGTTTGCTTTTGTCTTGGAGCAATGTATGAGGAGCTTAGTGAGGTTTGGTTCAAACTGAAAACATCAGTGTAAAGTCATCAGATGGATAAACTCCAGAACCTAATCTTGAGAGGAATGCACACACATGTGACTCCACTTATACATGTCAAAGGCAGGGAAAACCAAACAATATCTGTGTAGGAATACAAACACCTGTGGTAAAACAATGAGTAAGACAAAGTGAATAATGATCGCAAAATTCAGCAAAAAGAGGGGATGGGTAACACTGGAGACCCTGAAAAATCATTGTCATCCCTTCTTTTCTACGGGGTAGTGCAGTCATGTATGTATCGCTTATTTCAGTTTCTATATGTTTTATAGATATAGCTTCATATTTAATAAAAACACAAATTTTAAACCTTCTGTATGTAGTTCCACCACCTGTTAGCACCTTTTATATTAACATTTACATTACAGTAAGATTATAATTATTGACTTTTAGATTATCACTCCTCAATACAGTGGGCTTTTATTGTTATCTGTAGCTGGCAGCCTGTGAAAAGAGTCCCCAGTGGTCTCTGCCTCCTGGTGTCTGTGCCCCTAGCTAAGTACTTCTCTCCCATGGCATTTGTGGCTCACCTGGGACAAATAGAATGGGTAAAACTGGTACAATGTGACCTCAGAGATTAGTTTACAAAAAGTCTGTGACTTCTCTCTTGAGTGCTCTCTCCCTTACCTACTTGCCCTAAGGAATCCCAGAGCTGGTTTGTAAGCTGCCCTATAGAAAAACTATGTGTTGAGGAACTGATGTTTTTAGTTATTATGGACTAAATGTGCCCGGGTTCACATGTGGAAATTCTAATCTCCAATTTATTAATAACTAGAACTTGGATCTTTCAGAGATAATTAGCTTTAGATGAGATCCCTGAGGGTGAGGCCCCAGGATGGAATTAATGTCCAAAAAGAGGAAGAGATACCAGGTCTCCCTCTCCTGTCCCTCTCCCTCTCTCCCTCTCTCTCTCTCTGTCTGTCATCTCTCTCTCTCTCTCTCTCCTCTCTCTCTCTCTCTCTCTCATTCTCATTCTCTTGCTGCTTCTCCATGGAAGAACACAACAAAAAGGCAGCTGTCTGCAAGCAGGAAGAGTCCTCACCAGGACAGATCTGCTGACAGATCTCTAAGTTCCCAGCCTGCAGAATTGTAAGGAATAAATGCCAGTTATTTATGCCATCCAGGCTATGGAGTTTCATTACAGCAGTCTTTCGTAGTCAGCTTCCCATTACTCTAACAAACATCTGAGATAACCAACTTATAAAAAGAAAAAACTTAAATTTTGGCTCACGGTTTCACAGGTTGAGTTCAATCCATGAGTCACCAGCCGTGTTTCCTTGGGCCTGTGGCGAGGCAGCACATCATGCCAGGAGTATGTGGTGGAGCCAGGGAGTGAAACATGGAGAGAAAGGGGCTGGGATCCAGCAGTTCCCTCGAAAGCTGCACACCCACTATGGTCTGAAGACTTTTCTCTAGGCCCCACAGAATCTCAAAGGTTTTGCCATCTTCTTTTTTTTTTTTGGTACCGGGGATCGAACTGGGTCCTTCCACTTTCAA